ATGTCAGACAAGATACCGACCGAAAATGAAATCTCATTACTACAGTAAGGTCTGAATTTCAATATCACTAGAAAGACATTATCGATCCAGGAAATAGCACCTATGATCGAACCTGCTCTACAACAATTCACCAATGAAGAATCACAATCTGCTCGTCAAAATATATCACACATATTAATGACACAAAGAAACATACCATCTAATCTCACTAAACAAGAATATGAAGCCTTAAGAAATTTGAAGAAAGACAAAAGCATCGTCATAACGAAAGCCGACAAGGGAAACGTCACTGTGATAATGAAAAGAACGGATTATGAAAAGAAGGTGATTAAACACCTGTCTGAAAGACCATACTTACTCATTGAAGAAAAGAAGAAATCCGCCGAATTCAACAAAATGAAAGCAAATACAAACAGAACCCTTCAAGAAATGAAACCCGAAATTAGAAATTCTCTCTGGTTTAAGCTAAAACCAAAATCGCATGCACCTTCAAGATTCTACGGTCAACCAAAGATACATAAACCCACATTTCCATTAAGACCAGTGATAGATTTCACCGACTCACCGACATACAACCTATCTAAATACTTACTCTCGATACTACAACCACTACAAAAGGACACTCAAAATATTGTAAGAAATTCATATGATTTCAAATCCCAAATAGAACACCGAGAAATTGATAAAGAAGACACTATGGTAAGCTATGATGATATTAACTGATTATATACTAGTACCCCTATTACCGAAAGTCTTGATATCATTTCCAGTCTACTAGAATCAGATACAACGCTATCACAGAGATGTCCACTGGACACCAGTGAAATAATTAAGAGCTTAAAATTCTGTCTAGAAAGTAATTATTTTACATTTAAAGGGAGTTTATATAGACAGACAAATGGCGTTGCTATGGGTTCACCAGGCTCCCCAATAGTCGCCGACCTTTACATGAATAAATTCGAAAATAACATCTTTTCAAGCATACTCACTCCTAAAATATGTTTAAGATATGTAGATGATACTTCTGTAGTAGTAAAACGAGATCTGCACAATTTATTCCTGGAGAAAATAAACTGTGTATCTCCCAAAATCCAGTTCACTTCGGAAGCAGAATCAGACGTCGGTGAACTACCATTTCTAGACTGCCTAGTAAAGAGAAAGGAAAACGGACATTTTCGCATATCCATATTCAGGAAGAAAACCCACTCCAATAAATATTTAGACTTCAAATCATCACACCCCATCAGCGCAAAGATTTCAGTTGTTTCAAGTCTTCTTAGACGAGCACACCCTCTGAAAACGGATGACAAAGGAAAAGAGGAAGAAATATCAAACATTACTGAAACTATCAAGCAAAACAACTACCCAAGGAACTTCATCAACAAAATCAACACAGACATTAAGTATGGCCAAAAACGCATTCCGAAAACATGGACATCAAAAGTTAACATCACACACACTTCAAAGCAACCTTGTGCATATAAAAGACCAAATCCCTAAAGATTCTTTGTCTAATTATGTCTATAAAATAAAATGCTTGGAATGTGATGCGATATACATCGGACAAACATTTGGAGAAATCAAAATCAGAAGAAATGGACACCACAGAGTGAGTGTCTGTTCGACCGCCGAGAAATCCAGTTAGTGAACTAGAAAAGCTTGAAAATTCACCAGCCATATCTTGTCTACACGCTGTAGAATCAAGCCACAAAATTGATTTCGACAATGTTGAAATCATCATCCAGAAAAAGCATTTCAGAAATCACAAAGAACGTCTAATATCATTAGAAGTACTCCATATCAAGTGGAATCCAAATTGCCTTAGCTGAATAGGAATGATGGACTAAAACAGAATCTGACATGGTTACAACACCTCCCTCCACTCCCCAACGAAGTGACAAAATCAACACGAATGTGATAAGCAAGTTCACTATGTAAAGACACACTACTTTTATAATTTTACACACTGATCAAATCCAACAATCTACACTTGGTTTTGTTATCTCTACCAATTGACCCCGGACTGACGAACGATGATCGAGTTAGTAAACTTTGTTTTGATATCATAACAGACGTACTATTTATTACCTTTGTTATTTGGTTTAGTGATCTTCATTGTTATTTTAACTTTCAATGTGTCCTTTTAACTTGACCTAATTGGTCTATTTTCTCACCTCTTAACTCTTTGTTATATATATGCTGAGATTTTGTAAATTCCGGTTGAATAATACTTCGATAAAACTGTTAGCATAAGTGAGTAGCGAAACGTCAGTAAAAGCAGTGATATCGTTTTGTTTTGCATTCATTCACTGGGAAATACAAAACACCTTTATTACGACGAATATCATATACCCAAAGCCCAAATTTTTTCAAACCGTTAAAAGTGAACTTGGTTTTGACATATAAAGTCTTGCAGTAATGTAGAAAATGTGCATTCATCAGTCTTCTCGATGCAAGTTTTGTAAACGGATTAATCTGGGATGATTCCATGGATTTTAAGCTGGGTGCAATTGTCAATCAATATTTTTCTTGTTGACATCAACTAACAGATTGAAATTACTTAAAAATCAGCACGAACGTCAGATACTATGAAAATCTATGTAAAACGACACCGTAAACCCAGATCCTATATAAGTGATTGTTCACCGTAGATCCGTGTGCTGATTTGGTTAGCTGCTCGAAGTGAAAGTTCCCGTGATGTGCTAGGTCGTCTGGGGGTATTACACTATCTCTGCCTCCTGTGTCTACCAAAAGCAATGTGCCTGTAGTTTTATCCCTCAAGTAGAAAAGGAGACTTGAGTCATGTCCAGTAACAGTCATCACCATCACTGTCTGGCTGGGGAGTTCCCCTGAGCCGAGTTACTACTACTGAAATTGCACGGTTTTCCACATCGAATAGCTTGATTTCCTAACTTTTTATGATACCTGCAAATTTGTAAAAAATTATATTTGTAAAATCTCAGCGATATTGAAATGAATAATTCCAACATTTCGCTCGGCAATCTGGTCCGAACTTCTTCAGGGAAATTAATTCCCCTGAAATGTCTACTTCTCACTCGGCGCCCAAATATTTTAGAACTATTCTGTCAAATCTTGACTGCAGTTCATTTGAATACCTGCAAATATTCCGAATATTAGGAGATGTTTTGGTCTGCTGTCCTGTGAGACAGTCGAGATTACCTTGAATTGGACCGTGGTCTACCACACCGTGCACCTAGGCTGGATAGTTCAGCTTTTAAACTTCTTCATCCTGTTTCCTAATGCCGAAAGAGCTGATAATTACAAATGTGTCAGCAGTAGATGCACCCTCAACTGGTAACTCAATACGGCGAGGGGTGGTGAAATAAAAATCCACATTTAAATACCGTACCAATAGCTAAATGGTCAACGGGTTCACCTTCTAACCTGGAGGTCCCAGGTTCGATCCCTGATGGGGTCTCAGTTATCCGAGACTGGTTACCACAGCTTATCCAAATGAAATACTCGTATTCAAATTTGAAATTCTTAAAAAAAATATTCAAGCTACTTTTATGTAGTAAGTAGTATCAGAAATATCAGCTAAATTTAAGGCAGTACACTTGCTGGAATTCGTCGATATCAGGTTAATCGAAGAAACTTGATAAACGTAGAATAAAATTGAATATTCATCTTTAGTCTAAAAATAATTCGAACCAAACCGGAAGGTGTTCATCTACGTGTTTATGGACAACACGCCTACAACGCCCAATGTAATCAGCTCCACACGACCATATGAACGAGTATATGCACGAAGAGGTAGACAAAAGCGATAGTTCATCCTTAACGCATTGTCGAATCATATTTCGGCTGGTAAATACTACATGTAAGTCAGCTGCATAAAAACACCGTTTAAGGCAACATTTAGATAAACAACTTCTAACCACTTCGGCAACAGTGTCACATTTGAACTCCAAACTCACATATAGTCTCTCCTTTAGCACAGTTATTTGGCTAGGAATGGTTTCACTCTTAATGTTTATATCAATAAACATTCTAGGATATCCATTATATAAGAGAGTTGTGTGAATATTCTCTAGTCCCATGTCGACCGTATCTACACAGAGCAAATTTTCTGAATTCTGGAACATAGAGAATGGATAAGATTTCTCTTCCTGCCTAGAGGGGGTGGTACCCAACTGTTGTTGATCAAAGATATGGAAAATACTAATATGGAAGAACAATAGAGTTTTATTGGACATTTTGAGTCACAAGGAGTGGATGCATCTACGCCAGCCATCATTGACAACGACTATTTTGAGCCATATCACCAGTTATCTCCAGCTATTGGTACTTAGGATCCCGAGGACCCCAGCCCGACTGCAAAGCAGTCTACACTTCCCAACGTGACTGGTCAGCTTAAACTAACTGCTGTGGATTTCATTGACATGGTGAAGCCATGTTTTCGTTTCACCACCATTAGCTAGCTCTTTTCCAATCTGATTCTATGTGAGTTAATACTGCTGGTCAGTAGATGAAGGAGATCGATGGCACAGTGGTATGCGTAACACATGTCCTAACCATCTCTCTCAATCCATGTAACTTCACAACCATCTCGTCAACTGATTCCCCCTCCTTACCTAGACCTACCTACCTAGCACTCGACCACCGATGACTAACCCCAATATTTCTCCCCCTATTATACCACTACCTAATACGAAGATACGACGAAGACACCTATGATCAAAAACAACTAGCTAGCTGACCAAACCTTTCATGTCTTCCACTTTCAATGACGACGTCTCACAGCCATCAAGGAGGACGAAGCGAAGTGCTGCTGAGCAGTACACACGCCCTTTTGTCGATAACCAATCGTATATCACGTCTACTAAGCCAGAGACGGCGTAAACTGGCATATGCCAAACGAGCCTTCTATACCCGTGCTGAGATTTCATCAGCAATCGATCAACTCGCTGGTGTTAGCTGATGCAACTTCCTAAATAAGTAAACTGAAGCGATTGAGATGAGGTTAAAGTTCGAAATTTGTAAAACAGAAAGTTTATTCTACAGTCATTATAAAGCTAAAATATAAAAAAAAATAGTATGATGGGCAGAGAGTTAACAACGACGACGGGGATATTGTTCCAACACTAAAAATACAAACAAACAAAAAATACCCAGAGAGCAAAATGAGAAAATGAGACTATGTACATGAGATGAAAAGATTGGAAGGTATACAGTTTACACATCATCATCATCATCATCATCATCATCATTATTGTCCGTATTCCCCGATGTTTTTGTTGAATTCATTTGTTTTATCAAGCATTACTAAGTGATGCGGAAATATCCATTTTGTAGCATGACTGATGAAGGCATCAATTTTATTCAATGATATCGATCGACGAAGATCAGAAAAGAAACGATAATACTGATGAGAATTATGACTGTCAATGCATGAAAAACAAGACAAAAAAACAAAGAGTGAATACAACTCATTTTCAAAACACACTTGTATACAATACCGACATATATATATATATATATATATATATATATATATATATATATATTACTATTATTATTGCTCCCTTGGGTTCCTAGTGGAAAATAGGGCTTCAATTCCACGTCTCCACTTGCTTCTGTCTTCCTTCTGCTGTACTTTTCACCTGCATCCATCCATCTTAGTCCATACTCTTTCAACTCCTCCTCTTCACACAATCTCCTGCATGTCACCCTTGCACTGACTTCCCAATCACCGCTTCCCATTCTGTCGGGTTCCACTCGAACAATGGCCTGACGAGCGCGCGATGTCACCCAGCGGCTTCCTCAGCCACGAGTGTCCAATCCATCTCAATCCACTTTCTCCTGCACATTTGCTGCTGTTGGGCGATTGGTTTGTTCTTGTTTTGTTTGTTCCCATAGTTTCTTGTTCGTGGTGATCCTTTCCGACCCGGCCATCTGATCGATCTTCAGTATAGAGCCAGCGAAGACAGTTGTTGGTTGATAAAGGTAACGTCTGCAACAGGTTGTTGGAAATATTCTTTGTGACCTGCCCGCCGAGTTTCTGATCCGTATAGAAGAACTGACCGACTTGACGTTGTTTGTATTGAAAATCCAACCGAATTTTGTTGTTGATGCTGTGTTGAGTGACGAAGATTTCCAGATTGGTTTCAGTTGGTTGTTGAATGTGTTTCTCGCTCGCCTTCCCGATTCTTGCTCGATTTAACATCCTCGTCCGTTTCGACTGCTTGTAGTTGAGACAATGCTCCCTAGATAAGTGAGTGAATGAAGTAACCTATGGGGGAATACTGGGAACCATATAAGTGTTAAAGAATGAAAGTATGGCATAATATGAAATAGAAAACTTACATCATTAACAGCATTGGTGCTAACATTTCTTGAGCAATATGTAAATGCGATATGTAGATACGTGTATGATGCGAACAAGCATAACACGCGCATTCCGGCTGGATAGGCAAGAATTGTTCACTTTCACTCAGTTGATGAATAGGTTCTTTGTCTTCTTCAAAAGGAAATACTAGAAATCTGCGTTTAGACCCGACATCCAACTGACCGCTAGCATCATCATTCCAATCTTCATAAATCCAACCAATTCCACTACGACTAAGTCTGTAGGGTAGACTGCCATCGAATATATCACAGCCTGAACGAGCTGCTAAGGCAATATCATACGGTTGCCAGATTTGTGTAATAAAGCGAGGTAAATGACTTGGAATATGAGCAAATAGTTTTGGTAGAGTAGTTGTCAAAAAGTCGATCAGACTTTTATCTTCATTGTCGATATCCTTGACTTCAACAGCAGATACTGGTAGATTTCGCAGGAGTCCATCAATAACTACACCTAAATAATAAATGTAATGAAGAAATCAGATACGTACAAATATACATCGTTCGATGCGAATTCTAATATATATACATATGTTTGTTTGATTTACAGCTTGATTCCACACTGTATTTTCGGTACAAGTATGGAATTTTCAGCATGGATATCGGTAGCCCAAATTCGCAGGCCGACCATAGACATCAGGTGTGCGTCGGTGCGGGCTCGAACCCCGGACCATGTGCATGGTCGGCGAGAGTCCTAACCACTGTGCCACCGACGCACAGTAGCTAAGACCGTCCAACAAGAGCAGTGTGTAGTTAGTCTGCTTATTCTCACACTCCACCGTCCCTTCTTTGCCATATTCACTACTGTCTTTATATATGTGTTAGACTTGGGCACTGTGGTAGTAAGTAATTCCATATTAGTTTGTTTATTAGATGTATCACACAGTCAGTGAAACAGTATTATTTACTGGATGACGTTTCGAATAAAATTAAACATTTCACCAATCCTATTTTTGCAGACATAGGAGAGGATGATCAGAAGTCCAAATATCTGTTTGAATGTGTGGGTTTCCTGTAAACACTAGTATGTGTTTAACTTCCCATCTTCTTTCCTTTTTACACTGGAATCTTACATTAGCAGTTCCCCTTCCTGAATTTCCAATTCATAAGTGAATTGCATATATGGTGACAAAGACAAAGAGACAAACAAATCCAAAAGAACAGAGCGCCGGTGGTACAGTGGTTAGGACACTCGCCGACCATGCACATGGTCCATAGTTCGATCCCCGACCGCCAACGCACTCCTTTATCTCGCTAAGCCAGTAATAACTGTCTGTCTGTCTGTCTGTCTTCGACATAGAACTATACACAAATGTGCGGAAGTTCAAGTAGCCACACTCCGTGTAGCACGCGAAGCAAGAGAAGAAAGTACAAGAAAAGCATAATAGAAACAGTGAGCAGAGGTGTGAGACAAAGGAGTAATAACGAAGAACAAAACAGTTTCATTGGAGATCATAAGTCACAAGGAGTGGATGCATCTGCGCCAGCCATCGCTGAGAACGATTTTGAGCCATGTCACCAATTGTTTCCAACCATTGATTTTTACCGTCCCGAGGACCCCAACCAGTGAGGAAGTCTGCACCTTCCTACGTGGCTTAGACCAACTGTTGTGGATTTCATTGACTGGTGAGGCCAAGTTTTTGTTTGACCGCCGCTAGCTTTTTTCCAGCCTGACCCTATATCCGCTAACATAGCTCGTCGAGGGAGGCGATGGCTTGGCATACGTAACACATGTCCTAACCATCTCAGTCTTTGTAACTTCACGACTTCGTCGTAACAACGGTGGTAAAGAGGAAAAGTTGAGCATGAGGCTAGCAACCCCATCCTGTAAAGATAAAGATTGCTATAGAAACTTCAAACCTCTGGCTCGAAACCCTGTGTTCCACTGCGAACGTGAAGGAATAAAGAAGACTAACAGTCTGCAGTCATTGGGTCTTAGAGCCTTCCACAATACCAGCTAGACGACAGTTTACACCTCTGTACGTAGCTCAAACCATAAGTCAAAGACTTTACAGACTAATGCCAGGTTTCGACTCCACCAACTCTATCTTTTCAAACCTAATCTTATGTCAGCTAATATCGTCCAACGACGAAGTGGTGTGCATAACACGTGTCCTAACCATCTCAATCGATGCAGTTTCACAAAATCATCAACTGACTTCCCTCCTTTTTCTAAAACTAAGACTAATCTCAGTATTACTCACCACATTATACCCCCCCCCTTAGCCTCAGCGATAAAATACAAACAGCTAGGCCTCTTCAAGTCTTCTACTTTCAGCATAGGCACTGTAGGATAAGGTGTTTGGAGACTAGACGTAATCTCCCTTAAAAATAAAGTTTTTTTTTATACTTAGGCCTTCCATTATATCTCTGAAGCGGTTTAGACCAGTTTACCAAACAAACAGTTGGAATTACTTATTTCCATATCTATTGAGATATAACATAAATATAACCTACACCTATTCGTCAGTTATCCTTTCTTTTTCTTACATTTTTATTTATTTTTTTATTTTTGATTACAGCTTCATTCCACGCTGTATTTTCGGTACAAGTATGGAATTTTCAGAGTGGATATCGGTAGCCCAAATTTCGCAGGCCGACCATAGATATCAGGTGTGCGTCGGCGAGGGCTCGAACCCCGGACCATGTGCATGGTCGGCGAGAGTCCTAACCACTGTGCCACCGATGCACAATGTTACATGTTACTATAAAACTACTAAGTTCTGTGATGCATTAGAAGACACGATTTTCACCAATGCTATATGGTATAGTACTACAAACAGTAAATGTCTACGCTAATTCACACACGTATCACATTTTGTTTTACCATTACACTGGATGAACAGCAGAGCTGTGTGTGTTTGTGTGTCAGTGAGAGGTTGCTACTTCCCAGCTACTCACATCATGGGAAGTACCAAAAAGAGAAAAAGCATTAGTGTTGCATGACTGCACAGACCAAGAGACAACTCCTTAAAGTCGGTCAGGTGGAATTTCTAAAGTTACGTCCATTCTGGACAGCTTGTCACCGGCTGTGAACTACTGTACGGAGAGCACAATTATTAGAGCCTAGCTTTTCTAACGTTCCCTCTCAAGAACTACGGCGAGTAGCACAGCTTACAACTATTCCAGCCTAATCGCTATCCAAAAGATGTCTGTAAAATGGTAGGGTCTGCAGAAACATTCATCCCAACTAGTATATCTCGTCGGATTATTGCGATATGCAAATCTGGCTGTCATTTAAAGGTAGCAGCTGCTCACTCCTAGTGAATCCTCTGTACATTTTCATCCATTACAGTTTTATCCCATTTCTTCTCTCAACCTTTCTCTGTATGCTTTTATGATGTATAGCAACTTGAACTGCTACACTTTGTGCAACGTTCAAGATTTGTGTGATAAAAAGTTCCCAAACTAGGATGAAACAGCTCTCCAGTAGTCCAGTGCCAGTTTTCCACGGTTCCCTAAATGATATTAATCCGTGGTCAAAATCACGTGGCAACTCGAACTACTGCACTTCGGTGCCAAGTTCTATGTTGAATCCAGACAGACAGACAGTGGTCAAAATCGTAAAAAAAAAACAAATTTAATCCTTAGAAACCAACTCTTGAAAATTATTCTGATGCTCGCCAGTGACTGACTTGCTACAGGACGAAGTTTCGTGGAGTTCTTTCTAGTGAGAAGTCGTGACCAGTGAGGTCCAACCAGTCAAGTGTGAGGATGGGTTTCCTACCGATGACATTGGTTAGTGACAGTTGCGCTGATTCACGAACTGGTAGAAGTCAGAATTCATGGGCTGGCCATTGAAGCGGGTCTCAGTGGCTGAATGGTATACAAGCTTGCTTGCTTATAACCAGAAAGTCCTGGGTTCGAACCCCATGTAGTGTGGGTGCGTACTGCCGATGATTCCCAAACTAGGATGAAACAGTTGTCCAGTACTCCCTGCGGCTAGTTTTCAATAGTTCTCTAACTGATATCAATCCGTGGTCAAACTCGTAAAAAAGAAAAGTTCTACATTACAGCATCGTATAGGCCTACCTGAACAAATTGAGAAATCTATATCAGCAATCGATCGAAGACGAAACTCAAGATCATGACCACCAGCAATTGAAACCAGCAATGATGTTTTCGTGAGTTCCTTCAAAAACACAGGAAAAAAGAGATAAAAAACAAAGATATTCAGTTTTCACTTCATGTAATAATTGGCACTAATCATTATAATAAAGGTGTTTTTGTATTTCCCAATGAATGAAAAACAAAACGATATCACTGCTTTTACTGACGTTTCGCTATCTAATGTTACTGCTAATAGCTTTATCGAAGTATTATTCAACCGGAATTTACAAAATCCCAGCATATATATAACAAAGAGTTATGAGGTGAGAAAATAGACTTAGGTCAAGTTAAAAGGACACATTGAAATTCAAAAATAGCAATGAAGATCACTAAACCAAATAACAAAGGTAATAGTACGTCTGTTATGATATCAAAATAAAGTTTACTAACTCGATCATCGTTCGTCAGTCCGGGGTCAATTGGTAGAGATAACAAAACCAAGTGTAGATTGTTGGATTTGATCAGTGTGTAAAATTATAAAAGTAGTGTGTCTTTACATAGTGAACTTGCTTATCACATTCGTGTTGATTTTGTCACTTCGTTGGGGAGTGGAGGGAGGTGTTGTAACCATGTCAGATTCTGTTTTAGTCCATCATTCCTATTCAGCTAAGGCAATTTGGATTCCACTTGATATGGAGTACTTCTAATGATATTAGACGTTCTTTGTGATTTCTGAAATGCTTTTTCTGGATGATGATTTCAATATTTTGTGGCTTGATTCTACAGCGTGTAGACAAGATATGGCTGGTGATTTTTCAAGCTTTTCTAGTTCACTAACTGGATTTCTCGGCGGTCGAACAGACACTCACTCTGTGGTGTCCATTTCTTCTGATTTTGATTTCTCCAAATGTTTGTCCGATGTATATCGCATCGCATTCCAAGCATTTTATTTTATAGACATAATTAGACAAAGAATCTTTAGGGATTTGGTCTTTTATATGGACAAGCTTGTTTCGTAGTGTGTCTGACGTTTTGAAGAAAACTCTAATGTCGAGCTGATTGAGTACTCTTCTGATATCGTCTGACGTCTCTGATGCTTTATATGGAATGACGACTGTTGATATCCATGTTTTCGGAATGCGTTTTCGGCCATACTTAATGTCAGTGTTGATTTTGTTGATAAAGTTCTTTGGGTAGTTGTTTTGCTTGAGTCTCAGTAATGTTTGATATTTCTTCTTTTTCTTTCTCATCCTCACTCTGAGGAACGATGATTAAGTTGTCATATACATACTGAGATTTTATAAATTCTGGTTTAATACTACTTTGATAAAGCTATTAGCAGAACTGTTAAATAGCAAAACGTCAGTAAAAACAATATCGTTTTGTTTTTCATTCATTGAACACCACTAGCTAGCTCTTTCCAGACTGACCCTATTTCACCTAACATTTCCCATCGGTTGAGTAAGGCGATGACTAGACATACGCAACACATGTCCTAACCATCTCAGTCGATGTAATTTCACAACCACCTCGTCGATTGATTTCCTCTCCTTACCTCAATATTGCTCACCCTGTTATGTCACACACGGGAGATAGAACGAAGGCACCTATGATCAAAGACAGCTAGCTACCCAGGCTTTTCATTTCTTCTACTTTCAATGGCCACATCTCAATCACAGCCATAAAGGAGGATGGAGCGAACCACTAAGCAGTATACACGCCCTTTGGTCGATAGCCAGGCGGATATCACGTCTACTAAGCCAGAGACGGCGTAAACTGGCGTAAGCGAATCTAGCCCTTTGTATCCGTACTGAGATTTCGTCAGAGATCAACCCGTTGGCATTGGCTGATGCAACTTCCCAAATAAGTGAAGCCGTCAACGTGCTCTACCACTTCACTCCCTATTTCTAAACTAGGAGTCGGTGTAGTCCAGTCATGTAACATCATGTTGCATTTGGCGGGAGCGAATCGCATGGCAAACATTCGTAGATTGCAGCTCAAGGTGTTTAGAAGACTCTGCATTTTTTTCAGCGGCCTCGTCTAGAAGGACCATATTGTCTGCATATTCTAAGTCAATGAGATTATTCCCTGGTAGCAAGTCAATCCCTGGCTCAAAATCGTTCTCAATGAAGGCTGGCGCAGATGCATCCACTCCTTGTGACTTATGATTTTTGATGAAACTATATTGTTCTTCTTTATTACTATTCCTTTGTTTCACCTCTGTTTACTGTCTCTGTTATACATTTCTTCCACTTTCTTCTCTTGCTTTGTGTGTTGTCTCTGTCTGTCTGGATTCAACATAGAACTTGGCACCGAAGTGCACCAGTTCGAGTTGCCACGTTCCAAATAGCACACAGAAGTAGACAAGAAGATGAGTGGAGAGAATCAATACAGTCTGACAAGTATACGAGTGAAACAGAATGGGTAATGGTAGAAAGGAATATGAAAGATTACAGAGACTGAATACATCTACGCCATTGACAACGATTTTGAGCCATGTCACCTATTGTCTCCAGCCACTGATTCCTAGAGTCCCTAGGCGAGGGCCCCAACCCGGAAGTCTGCATCTCCCTACCTGACTCAGTTTAGCTGTCAAGGACTTCATGGATTTGTGTGCTACAAGGAGGGAGTGTGGCGACTTGAACTGGTGCACATCTGTGCAAAGTTCTATGTCGAAAACAGACAGACAGATATGATCGCTAAGAATGAGGTCAGAAATTCCGGCAATTAACAGACTAACAACCTGGATGGCAAACGATGAGTTGGAAGTGAGATGGCAGGTGAAATGGCAGAGATCATGTGAGGACATGAAAGCTTATAGTCAGTCATGTACTCAGCTCAAAATACACTGCTAAGAACAGAGTGAACTGGAGATGTGCCGTTGAAGCCCTGTATTCCACTTGCCGCCCAACGGAATGACAATAATGACAGAAAGTCAGTCAAACCAGTTGTGGCGCTGCTCCAATGGACATTGTTAGAATAGGATTACTTGGAGACAAAATTAAAGGTGGGATGATAAGACTAAAATGTCAATCTACGAGACTTTTACCCCTTAGTTTGACTCTTGTATACATTTATGAGACTGAATACAAAATAATTTTTGCAGTATTGATACCTATCAAGCACATTAAAATACACTACACATTAAGTCTTTGTATTAAGTAGTAAATAATGCAAGTTGTACATAGCTGCACAGAATTAATAAAATAGGATAGATTTATATTGTTCTGCTCTAATATTTCTTCGTAATATTCGTAAGTCAATAAACGAAAAAATGTGCATGAAACCCGTGAAAATTTTGCAACTAGGCATGCGCAAATGTAAAACAAATTCCTTGATTCTCAGGATATTGAGCAGTTCATAAACATTGCAGCCATTTTCTGAGCATACTCTCATAAACCGTCAGACATGACTTTTACTTTCACAGTTCGTATTATTATAGTAGCTTAGAATACTTTTTACTTTCTTTTGTCCACCTTTATGTACTGCATACAATGTGGTAACTTGAACTACTACACTTACGCGCTAAGTCCTGTGTTCAAATTCAGTCAGTCAGCAGGTGGGCCTTCTGAGCATCAAACCAAGCTGGTAGGAAAGGTGAGAATTAGACAAATAGTATGAAACTACGTCAATGAAGCGCATCTTCAGCCTTAATCAATATCTCATTTTCAAAACAAAGACCATTGATTATAAAAAACTAGCAGATAACAGGCTACAGCATGAACACTAATACTGCAGCACACTGACTATATTAAACTGTTATTATTTTTTGGTGATTTCATAATGTTCCACTACACTGCGTTCTTGTAGTTTTTGAGTAGTATTGGGTTTAAAAAGATAAAAAATGGGTTTATTACAGTACCATTCCCGGCTATTAAGATAACTTATGGTAGCATCGTTAAAACAGCTGCTCATACATAAACATCTATCACTTTAAAAGCATTTGTTAATTACAGCATCTAAGATAAATTAAACGTAACAAATCAGTAAGTTGGTTTATTTCCATCGTCGATTAATAATAATAAAGCCGAACACAAATATCTCACAACTATATGCGAAACAGACTGAATAATAATATCTATAATCGTTCAACCTAATTCATATTTCCAACCAGTCACAGCTTACCTCTTCCAAAGAGTGTTCTTCAATCAATCTCCTTAAGTATCCTGCAGTTCTAACCACCGAATTTTTACATCGTTTAGGTGTTGGATTTTTATCCAAAATAAACGTCTCATTGTCTGTTGGTGCTTGATATGCTACAGGAGAGGCCATTAAGACACATTTAGCGTATTCGGCTATGGACAACTGTAGACGACCTCCTGTTGCCCACACAGGAACCGAGGACTTAGCGGCTGCTGCTACATGAGACGAATTGGTTGGATCAGACTGGAACAAAATAGCTTTACGTTTCTAGAAACTGAATTCATAACTGAAAACCATACCCCCAAAGCACCGAACTCAGCAAGACCACGGCCATATTTCAACAGGGTTGATTTACGTTCTGCTCTACAGAATTTAATTCCAATTTGAAACGTACATACATGTAGTTCATGGATGCAAAGGAAAATCCTGGTATTAGGCTGATTCCTTCGTATATATCAGGTGAAAGAAAAGGTACACTCCCTAATTGTGGTTGGGTTCATTAACAGTATAAACTACGAACCATATCTTGTATACAATAAACATCCTGGGGTATTAAGACTTGCTTTATTTGCGGTTTCTGATAATACTCCTAAGCGTAAGGTATCATTCACAGAACACGTGACGCTGAACTTAATCATTCACGCCTTAGCCGACCTTGTTATTATCCTACCCGCCAGAGATACAGTATTCAATCCCATCCAATGTCGTTTTTACGAGCTAGTATAAACCAGTTTGATTTCTTTATGCTCGCTTCTTGATTGTAAGGTATAGGTTCCTGACCTTATGTAAACTACTGCGTAGCTCGTCCCGCCACTCGACTGTCATAGCTTTGGTTGACTCCAAAGGGAGTAGTGCTGGGATTAATTATATGTGGTTTGTAGTATGAGGTGTGTTAAGACTGTTACTACCGTGAACGGAGTTGATCCTTTTGCCAGTTAGTCCTCCGGTATCGTCGACAGGAGAAAAGAGATAGTAATAATAATAATAATGCCAATAATGGATATAATTAGTGGTTATTCAGACTAAGGGACAGAAACGGAAATAGGAAAGCGTAACAACAGTCAGCTGATTAAGTTTGAAGAATAATATATATACATATATATCGGTAATAATAATAATAGTAATAATAATTATAATTATTATTATTATTATTGTATCCTTTAGTTCCTAGAGGAACATAGGGCTTCAGCTGCGCACCTCCATTTACTTCGGTTTTTTGACAACTTTTTCACCCTGCTCCAGGTCTGCCCACATGCTTTCATCTCCTCTTCACATGAATAATTATAATATTAATAAGTTTTCAGGAGAGTGAGACGGGAGAGAATGTAAAGAAGTAAAACGTCGAGTTTAATTGTCTACCCCTGAATGGTGTATGCGATTTTAATGGGATAGGCCATTTCATGCAATTTCAGAATTATTCGTATCAAACGTGGACAGGACTACCATTATGTGGATACACGCTTCTTGGTACTGAGAAACGACTTCAGGTCTTCTGAAAGCTGTATGTCTATTGTCCATTAAGTGAAGAGTGGATCGTAAATCAGTTCGTTTATTAGCCGACTACTGTGACCGCACACGGTGTTAGTATGCTTTGAATGGTAATATAATATCATTACTAGGTTGATTTCACCACTGTGAAATCATTGTTCCACCATACATCCATCCAGACTGATCGAAAAAACTAAGTTACAGGTAATGTGAAGGGAGAAAGAAATGAACGTAGACACGCATTTCCTCAGAAATCAGGGTCATGAAAGTCATCATATAAATTGATGGAATATATAATTTTTCTTGTTCATTTTTCTTGTTCAGCCTACTCATCTCTACTGAGGTAAAAGACAATTGTCCAAGTTACTTGGAGATCAAGGAAGCGAAACCGTGGTGGGGACTTCAGTCGAAAATTTCTATGACGTCTTTATACCGCTCTGGCCGAAGTCCGTTTTTACGCAGCCATAAGTGTAATATTCTCTCACTAATGAGGATGTGTTGGGTACATTCTGCAGGTCTGACTACACGTTGTGGCGGTAAACTATTTCCCAAAATCATGAGCCTACGGCATTCAATATTGGATGCTAACCTTCATTGTCCAAGCCGACTCGTTTAGCTAAAGGTTTGTGGTCAAGCACCTAAGCCGTCTGACACACCGTCGCGTTACTTTCATCCGTTCGTGTATGATTTCTACCTAGCTTAGCAATCACCTCACTACGATTCTGGTCCCGGAATATATTTCGTTTTTGTACGGTCAAGTCGGTGTTTCTATTTGCCTCTGGTCTAAGCAGAACAAATAGTATAGGAGTTATGGGATAAAACCTTGTATCAACTTCCAGGTCTTACTAGACTGGACTTCATGCTGTCCTTGGAAGACGTTCAGAAGCTATGCGTAATAACTAACACGAAAAACCAGAACGCAAATTGGTGACTCAAGAACCGTTTATTCTTGCACCAATACAGCCAACCATTGAGTTGTTGTACACAAAGTTTCTGATAGTTTTCTCTCTTCCAACGAACAGCAAACGATGAGACGGTGACTGCCGTACTGATGATTTCCGCGAAAAATATGGAGTTGGGTTTGAGCAGACAACCACGAGTTGACAGTTCCATCTTCAGCTACATTGACACCTTGAGTTTGTATACATCGTACCTCGCGTAAATGTCAACAACCCTCCGCATCTCCTGAAACGTCACTTCGTAGTCAATAAGCGAGTCTTTAACGACAGGTGTCAAATGACATACACTGACATCATTTCTGATGGATGCCAAAGAAGCAAACAAGTTCAGAACCCTTAAAGTTATCCAATGAACTGACATACTGTGGGTGAAATACAAAATACGAACGAAAATTGTTTTTAACAAGCGGAAGAATTCAGTCTTACACATATCACAGACCTTCTTCAGTCAGCAGTTCTTCAGTTTTTTCACAGATCATCAACCCAGTGATTTTATAGTAGAACTTAGTGGATCACTAATAATCTAACGTGGCTGTAAATGCTAAGGTTTGCCCTGAGCAAACTGCCACCACATGTCCTTCTTTTGCACTACCTTAAGTAAATTTCTAAAACTGAAAGAACAGATGAGATGCATGTACGCCCGTTGAAGTTTTGTCCAAAGCAGGTGAAACCTCAGCCAGCTTACTAATGTGGTTCCAAGGACAGAAATGAGGACCAGGTGAGAGTTGAGCTAGCAACCCAGTAAATACGAAGCTTCAAGACACAGAAAAAACGCCCGTTCTCATCTGGAACTGCGTAACATCATCGGTTTCAGAGAGAATGATGATGACAGATGAAACCATCAGTCTATATGTCTTCTCCTTATGGGAGCGAAAATTAGCACACTGACAAGGAATGTTCTCTATATATTTGGGATTGGCTGGTAAAGTGATCAGATCGCAAAAAAAAGGGAATCAGAGGATCTTCAAGAGAAGACTGAGTGAAAACGAACTGTTCAGATTATTAACCGGAAGTTCATTATTGCGTTCCCATCACCCAGACGACAACTGCCAGCCATTACTTCCTGGCCAAAGCTGTCAACAGTCCCCATGAGATGAGAACCAATTTGCTCCGTGATGATGACAGCCAGGTTCAAATAATCCTACACACTCAAAAACAGTGCAAATCCAGTGCAGAAGAAGGAGAATTTCCACAGACAAATGCAAGCAGAAGGGGACCAGATGACGGTACCGAAATTCTAACGGATGATGTCCTGAGAGTTGGACACAGTAGTGTTTGTTAACCGGATTGTTCATCAGCTACCCGGCGTATTAATATCATCACAGTACATTTACTTCATATTAAGATTGCAGTTTGCACATATCTTCTGAACCGTCCTTGTCAATGTAGTTGAAGATTGAACGATCAATCTTCCCCATATTTTTCGTGGGTCATCAATCCGGTAGTCATCGTCTCATCGTTCGCTGTTCGTTAGAAGAGGGAAAACTATCAGAAGTATTATCATGATTTATTGTTATAACATTTATTCTTAGACTTTGTGTAATAACATTATGGTTGGTTATGTTAGCGTAAGAATAAAGGATTCTCGAGTCGCCAATCAGTGTTTTGGTTTTCGCGTTGGTTAATACAAAGCGTTTCTGAAAATCTTCGAGGGACAGCGTGAGGTCCAGCATAGCAAGAACTGGACATTGACAGTTTATGAGACTTGGCTGACAGTTCTTCTTTCGTCTTCATTTTATCAGTGTTGTTTTATTGAATCTAGCCCTCCGCTATTTAATACTGTTTCAGATGATATATGTTCTTATATCTGCTTGCATATGCTACTTGCAAAACTTTGCTTTTGTCACACACCGCAACATGAATTCAGGGCAAAATTTGAGTAGATGACTTACTTGCACATTGAGTGTGTTGCAGTTCTAGCACGTCATCCTTCAACAAAAATTAACCCGCTCAACGGGTCAGGTCAAACGCCAACAGATTTAGCTTCAAGTCGTTTGATCAATGTTAAAGGAAAGTCTCAGTCTGATGTAAACAGTTTCAATGAGATAGCTGATAAAATATGACAAATTTTAGACGAAAGTTATATTGTTCTAGTAGATATAGAAACTTCAGGCTCGAGTATGATACAGGCGAAAATTTTACCACCTCTAGATACACGTAAATTTCAAGCCTTACTTAGTCAATGTGGTGTTACATCGAATGCTTGTCAAACATTTACCAGTATAACTACAGTAAAACCACATCTGATGGCACAAAACAACCTCAAAACAGCCTCCTGATTTCTATGAGAACAGTGCTATTCAAAGACAGTCAATAATTGATGAATATGACTGTCAGCTGAAACGACTACGAGGTTTTTCAGGACCAATGCCATCGAATACAGCTGTTGAATTACGAAAGGAATGGATTCAATATAACATGCCGAATGCTATTGACTGTAAGCCTTTTTCACGTCTGCACTTAATTGATGCTGAAAGAGGATATGGACGTCAAGGAAGATATCTCTCTCGTCTATTCAGAACACAATGGTATGAATATTGGAAGTTTTTAGATGATTTTATTGATTTAAACACTGAGAATGCTTGTCTGCTTTAGAAGATTATTTATCTAACCATCAACTATTGAAAAGCAAATACTCTTCAGCATCGAACAATTGTAACGTGGATGCTTTGAACACACATGTTACAACGACATTTTGTTATGTTTTTGCAGTTTAATGGTTTACACATGGACATGATGAGGTGGGATAGCTCGTTTTGATAATTATTTTATTTACTTTGTTTCGTACTTTTCCTAATGCTGACAAGGCTCCTCCACATGTATTTCTTTAACAAAAACCTACAGAAACACTTAGAAATTATATACTCATAGTATTTCCTTATTTTATGGCATAAATTTAATGGTTGCAGGCAGATGCAATATCGATATTGTATTCTTGAATAATATTGACTAACGTAATTATATAAAATTCAAATAAATATTTCGTCATTTTAAACCTATTTAATGGTTAATTATGGTGTTTGCAATGGTAGCGACGTCTATATCTGTATAATTCTTATGTTCTTTATCAGAAAATACATACTGTCGGGAATTTCATGGATTTGGGTGATAAAGAAAAAGATACCTGCAAGGTGGTTGTCAGCCACGTCTCGAAAACCGTTAATGCCCAGCTCTTGCTACGCTCGGGCCCACGCTGTTCCGTGAAGTTTCTCAGAAACGCTTAATAGTAACGGACGCGAAAACCAAAACACCGATTGGCTGCTCGAAAATTCTTTATTGTAACACCAACATATAAAAAATAATTCCACTAAGGTCTGTGAACAAATATTACAATAATAAATCACAACATTACTTCTGACAGTTTTCTGCTGACTTCTTTCTGAACAGCGACCGATGAGACGATGACTGTCGCATTGATGCCTCCGCGAAAATTGGGGAAGTTGATTTTGAGCAAACAACCATGAATTGATCGTTCAATCTTCAACTACATTGACACTCCCCGGCAAAAAAGGATCTATTCCTTTCTTCCATCACGACCAATACACGTTGACTTGGATGCAATTGCGAGAACCTGGGTCACACGGACAGAGCTGAAATGGAAAACAAACAGAAAAGCCAACACACCACAAGCATACTCACAGCACAATCTCACACATCAATGACGACCTGCGCCTTCCAGTTAAAGGCATCCACTTGCAACACAATCGCCACTTGCTAGAATGACTCTTGCAGAATGCAACGTGACCACAGCACCACCTCGCGATACTCTACGCTCATCCTCTTATCTACTCACTACCAATTACCACTGAAATCGCTTGTCACTCATTCTGCCTCAATTCTAGTAACGGTGGCGTATGCGAGCCTCAGTCGTTTACACTCTTTCTCCCCGGCGTGTCGGACCGCAGCTAACAATTATCTCCGTGTGCAGGTCATTCTCAGCAATAGCCTCCCCGGAGTATACGACCCATCTGCTGTCCTCAACATCAATCAATTCATTCACGGATGTAGAAGACTCCAAACAACTTCAGGAGTTAGCACGACGAAAATTTTAACAAAATTACGCAATGACAACAAGAGACGAAAACAACAAGTAAACACAATTAATCCAAAACACCACCAATTGATATGACACATCACACATATATACAAACAATAAACACAAATTCGCGGATCATATCTTGATGGAATTCCTTTGAAGAATCGCAGGACTTACACCAGTACGCCTACAACCCTTCTCAGGTTGACGCTCTAGGTTGGAAAATCGTTGCAGAGTTCATTTGCTGACTTCCTTCTATCAGCTATATACTCAAATCTGAACGGCAACACGCCCATGTCATTGTATCGTAGAATATAGATGACGAACAAACACACGACGTATCTGGTCAACCAAGCGTAGGCACAGAGTAATTTACACCAAAGATAATAGCATCCAAATAGTAACTTGAAACTAGAAATGCCTTTATTCGTGCAAGTCAATTTAACAATTACTCTCTCGTTTACACTTGGCTTATCCTCACTAAACTGACCATTGATATTCGTCCTTTTAAATGCACCAATACTATCATAGTCATTGCACAAGATACTTGAGTTGATGGGTATCTTTCTCATTGTGGATGACAACACAAACGATGAGTGGTTGATAACAGTTGATGAGCTTAGCGGTGGATCAGAAGCTGTTGTTGCTCGACTTTCAGAAATTTGTCTACCTGCAAGACCACCACCACTGCTGTCTTTTACTATCAGCTCAGGTTTAGCACTAGCATCTGATGATAGGTGGGCTACATGCTGATCAATCACACTGACAGTCTCACAAGTATGCGTGCCTTCTGCAACTGCATCTGCATTTATTTCTACTTCACGTTCAAGTTGTACAGAACCTTTGTTCAACTTAGCAGTAGTAGGCATATCCCTCACCTCATCATGATCAACCAAAGACAACTGTGAAGTATCATGATCATTATCACGAATATTCACTTTACCGTCAATTTCATCAATTTCAAACTCTTTAATAACAGAAGTAGACAATTTTGGTTCCTCCTCGCAAATCCTAAAAGGTTTTATAACTTCACTCTGACTAGTTATACTTTGTAAACTTGTGGAGTCAGAACTGCACTCTGAAGCAATAACTCTATTCTGTGACACTCTATTCAACAATGGCTTACCAGTTGCAACTACAGACTTCCTGACCAAACCGTTGTCGTCACACAATTCGGAGTCAGGCCTTGATTTCACATTTAGCTTATCACTGAACTTGCTCACTGATTCACAACTCACCTTTGTATGCACCTCTTGCAAACGTGTACAACACAACCGTGTTTCTCTTGCAGCTTGCAACTCATCTGTTGAGGATGTACTACGAAACCTGTTACACTCACTAGGTCTATATGCATTACTGTACATCATGGAGCCTTCTCGATATCCACCTCTCTGAGGCCCTTTCGTCATCAATGAGTGCGTTTTACCCTCAGACTGCTCTATTCTAGGGGTGAGATTCAATATACTGGCAAACTTGCTCATAGATTGATTGACACTATCTTTTACCAGTTTCAGGATATCATCAAATTTTGGCTCGACACCCTCATCCTCCATACGGGAGCTTATCTTCACCCACTTCCTTTGCAGTCGAGTAGGTAGGCGTCTCGCTATTACTTCTAGTATAAAACTCGAGTTGAGGTCATTCATGCAATTCATAGAAATCAAGGTATTCTTATAAGTCATAAGATTATCTAAAAACTCAGTGAGTGCCTTGGAGTCATCTTGAAGTTGACTGCCATTACCTTTGACAGCTTCGTATACGCCCCTTACAATCATTGAAGGTCTTCCAAACCTTTGACGTAATATGCTCATAGCCTCAGCGTATCCCTCATTAGGGGACATGAGCTTACAGCACTGTATAGCTCCTGAAGCATCTCCAGTGCAATACCTCATCAAATACATCAATTTCAATTCGCCACTTAATAAAAAACTACTCAGCATAATCTCAAACTCCTTTACAAATTGTGAATAATCAGCCGGGTTTCCATCGAAACACCGTGGTTCTAATTTAGGGAGTTTGATGTTCCTATTATCCCTAGACGGCGAAACAGTAACATCAACCATGTCATGCTTAACGTCAGACACATCGTCACAATTGACAGACAAGTCAACATGACTTACTTTCCTGTTTGCATCCGAGACACTCTGTCCCTTCTTTGACACAGGCATTGTTGAACTTGACCCAATTCCAAAAAAGTTCCAGATATTGCTTGTTCAAAGAGGACTTGACCGGCATCAGGAAAGATGAACGGTGACTATCCAAACTTTCACCAACTGTCTGAATCCGCCAGAGTCTGTTTCTACCATCAGAAACTGTCAGTCACGTCTCATAAACCGTCAATGCCCAGCTCTTGCTACGCTCGGGCCCACGCTGTTCCTTGCAGTTTTTCAGAAACGCTTAATAGTAACGGACGCGAAAACCAAAACACCGATTGGCCGCTTGGGAATTCTTTATTGTCACACCAACATATATGCAACTTTACAACTAGGGTCTATGAACAAATATTACAATGATAAATCACAATATTACTTCTGATGGTTTGCTACTGACTTCTTTCTGAACAGCGACCGATGAGACGATGGCTGGTGTACTGATGCCTCCGCGAAAATTGGGGAAGTTGGGTTTGAGCAAACAACCATGAATTGATTGTTCAATCTTCAGCTACATTTACAGGAATATAATGATGATCAAGTAATGACGTTATGAGAAATTGAATGAGATATGACTTTGTGATTTGTCATTTAAATATATGGCAATGGATAGCAAGTTAGTTTATAAAATGCACCATAAATCTGTGCAGAGCCCTCATGTTTGCATCTCAAGAATAGGCTGTGCGAATGGTATATGTTTTAAAGGCAGAAGCACGATCTGTCTAGGCGTCCATTATTATCTTTTTCAAGATAAAGATGTAAGCCGCCATAAAAATCGGAAATATCTCGAGCCGTCAAACTGCATATTACTGTTCCTGCAGAGTGGGGCGATTCACCTTATTGACCACCACCATATTTACTGATCAGCTAGTTGGAAGTCCGAAAAGAAGATGAATAAGTAACTTTCAGGCTACCTGCCCCAAACGTTCTAGATCCTCGTAAATTACAAAGCGCAAGACTAAACCAGGACAATGCACTGTTGGAAAATAATAACGGTATAAAAACCACAAAATCTTGTGTCTGGTGGTCATTGGGCTTGTTGTGAGTCAGGACAGAACAGCAGAACTGTGGCAAGATGAACCAAGTTGAATGTGGAGAATTAGTGACTGTACAAGGTAACATAAAAAGTGGTTGGGACAAACAATGCTAAGAAAGATGCACGCATATACTTAAGGTGCCACCTGAATATATTTTGTGAAGTCAAAGTAAGGTCGATGAATGTTGTCGAACGGCTGTAGATTTTTGAACTGCTTCAATATAAAATGGAGACCAGGTAACACATGATTAATCCACATGGTTACACTTTGAGATGCTTTTAATGAACATTCACATAAAGGCGAATTTCGACTTATTTCATTTAGCAGCAAAATTCAAATGGCATAGACCGACGGATCAGCAGGTTTTACGTC